TGTATATATATATATATATATATATATATATATATATATATATATATATATATATATACACACACACATAATACTGTGCGTGCAAAAGTCTTAGACCAATAGTATTTTCACCAACAAAAAATGGTTTAAAGCAAGTTATTTCTATTTTTTGCTGTAGTGTGTCAGTAGGAAATATCAGTTTACATTTCTTTTGCCATTAATTGTAATAATCCAGTGAGATTTGAAGGAGTCTGACAGCCAGTGCTCCACACAGAGATCTGATCTCACCATCATCCAGTCTGTCTGGAATGACATATCATAAACAGATTTGATTTATCAGTTAACTTCTATGAAATCAAATCAACATTTGGTGTGACCAAGTTGCATTTAAAACAGCTTTTGTCCTAGGTTCACTAGCGAATCGTTTTTCAGATAGCTTTACTGATAGGTTTCTTGAAGCATCTTGGAGATGTTGCCACAGTTCTTCTGGATTGAGTCTCAGTCTCAAGTTATTTCTATTTTTTGCTGTAGTGTGTCAGTAGGAAATATCAGTTTACATTTCTTTTGCCATTAATTGTAATAATCCAGTGAGATTTGAAGGAGTCTGACAGCCAGTGCTCCACACAGAGATCTGATCTCACCATCATCCAGTCTGTCTGGAATGACATATCATAAACAGATTTGATTTATCAGTTAACTTCTATGAAATCAAATCAACATTTGGTGTGACCAAGTTGCATTTAAAACAGCTTTTGTCCTAGGTTCACTAGCGAATCGTTTTTCAGATAGCTTTACTGATAGGTTTCTTGAAGCATCTTGGAGATGTTGCCACAGTTCTTCTGGATTGAGTCTCAGTCTCAGTCTCAGTTTGTTCCGTTTCTTCATGTCATTCCAGACAGACTGATGATGCTGAGATCTCTGTGTGAAGCACTGGCTGTTTGTGCATAGAGAAAAAATCTCACTGGATTATTACAACAAATAGCAAAACGAATGTTTTCTAATGTAAACTGATATTTCCTACTAAAACACTACGACAAAAAAGAACCATTATCACTTAAAACCATTTTGTTGTTGTTGTTAAAAATACAAGTGGCCTAAGACTTTTGCACAGTATATATACACACACATACATACATATAAACTATAAAATTGCATATTATATAACTATGTTTTAATAATATATAATATTGTGCGCAATCTGTCACGTCCACTGGAGTCTCGTCAATAGGTCGCGCATGCGCTGAGAGCGCTGAAGTAAACTAACCCTGAACAGAAGTTACTCTGCAGCTTATGTTCAGAGAGTAGGTTGCTATGGCTACTTACATAAATTTCCCTGAAAGTTACCTCTGTTTTTGGAACTGAATGCGGAGTTTATCCGCTTACTTACCCTTAAAGATGAAGTTACCCGGGTATGTCACATAACCAGTGTTGGGGGTACGCATTACAAGTAACGCGAGTTACGTAATCAGATTACTTTTTTCAACAAGTAAAGTAACGCATTACTTTTTAATTTACAAGAGAATATCTGAGTTACTTTTTTTTTTCAATTTATTGATTGACAGCTCTCCTGTCCCCATGTTGAGAGAAATCAGAAGATGTTACTGTAGTTCTATAATAAATATGAAAATATGCATGAATTCATCTCTCTCACACACACACACACACACACACACAAAACAGATTCAGTATTCCTCGAAATGAATAAAAAATAATGCAACTCAGAACATGACGTAAACCTGCAATAATTAAATGTTAAACAACACAAATATCCTTTATGTATTTAATCCCATTCTATAAACCAATGTCTTTGCTTCTGACCTTCGATGATCCAGTTCAACCGTACTAATAAGCAATAATTACTCTAGACAAACATTTGTGTGTCTTTTTTTATTGCTGAAGTGTGTTGACATTTCTTCTTCTGCATTCTACTGTACGCACATAAATTTACTTTCCATTCAGCCCGAGGCTTATTCATTTCACTTTTGGTGTGACAAGGCTTTTATATATTTGCCAAAAATAGATTTTTTTTATTTTAAAAACAAACAAGCAAGCCCTGTCCAGATTTTAAAAGTAAAACAAGCAATAATTACTCTAGACAAACATTTGTGTGTCTTTTTTTATTGCTGAAGTGTGTTGAAATTTCTTCTTCTGCATTCTACTGTACGGACATAAATTTACTTTCCATTCAGCCTGAGGCTTATTCATTTCACTTTTGGTGTGAAAAGGCTTTTATATTTGCCAGAAATAGATTTTTTTTTATTTTAAAAACAAACAAGCAAGCCCTGTCCAGATTGTAAAAGTAACGCAGAAGTAACGTAACGCAGGTGTTTGTAGTGTTGCTGTGTCAGTGTGTGTAGGATCGCTTTCTTTCATCAGTCATAATGTCCGGCAGTAACTCATACAGACTGCGCTGCTCTCTCGCCGCGCACGAGATGGATGTCAGGGGCCTCGCCGCCGCCGCGTATCCAGACGGAGCGTTTGTGTCCGTGTCCAGAGACCGAACCGCACGGGTCTGGGTACCAAACCCAAGGTACATTGCCACCAGCTTCCCCCCTGCTGTTTCTCAGACACGGTTTACTTTTCGGTTCGTTGAGTGGTAATACGTTGTCAGAGTTAGTTAAATGTATTGAGAGGGGTTGCCAAATCAAGCGAAATGATACATATCTGAAAGGAAACTGACCGGGTTTGGTTTCCTGACAACGACCGACCTATAAAACACTATGAAACGTTAAAGGAATAGTTCACCCGAAATGAAATCATTTGTTCACTCTCTCGTTGTTCCAGGTCCATGTAACTTCGTTTCACTTGCATCTTTTCCTTACAGTGAATAGTGATTGAGTCATTCTGCCTAAGACGTCTGCTTTTGTGTTCCGCAGAAGAAAGAAAGTCATACACGCTGGCAGAATTGTCATTTTGGGGTGAACTGTCTCTTTAAACTCCATTAAGCGTTCTCGGAATTCACTGAGATCCAGTTCCGTTCAATTCCACTCGGTTGAATTCAGTTCAGTTTGGTGAAGCTTTGTTATTTATTAGTGCACGGCATTACCAAAAAAAAAAAATCTTACCTACCTCAAACTTTTGAGTAAATAATAAAAGCACATTAACAACCTCTGTTTAACTCTCCTGTTTTTCCTTCTGCAGTGAAAACCAGGTCTTTACAGAGATGCACTGTATGAATGGCCACTCAGACTTTGTGTCTTGCGTGTGTATCATCGATCCTAATGAAACATACCCCCGAGGACTCATTGCCACTGGAGGACACGACAACAACATCTGTGTGTTTTCACTAGACCGACCAGACCCTCTGTTCACCCTCAAGGGTCACAAAAACACAGGTACTATCCACTGCTATTGATGTATTACAGTGATGTAACTGCGTGCAGGTTGTCTGAGTGTCACTGGAATGAGTTCTGTAGCCATTCCTGGTGTGTGTGTGTGTGTGTGTTTGCAGTCTGCACACTCTCAGCTGGCAAGTTTGGCACAATACTAAGTGGCTCATGGGACACAACAGCTAAAGTCTGGCTTGGAGAGAAGTGCATGATGACCTTACAGGTAAAGTGGAATGGTTCTTGGTATCACTATAGTAGTATCACAATTTGGCTTATTGTGATGTATCAAATATATGCGTTGTGTTTCAGAGTGAAACGTGGTACTGTGTTCTTTACAAACTAGCAGCTCATGATCCAGTGTTTTCAGTGTCTCAGAGCAGCTCGAAATAAATGCTGCTCCGCACTTATCAATGAACTTATCTCTTAGGAGGAGATACCCCCTGACAATGTAAAGTGCTTTGAGTGCCTAGAAAAGCGCTATATAAATGTAATGAATTATTATTATTATTATTAACTTATCTCTGCATGTGCTGTGAGTTTGGCTTGCTTGTAGTGTGCATTTGGAAACACAAAATGCACCAAACCATTTTCCCAAACTTAAAACCCGGCTTTTTTCAACATAAAAGCTTTAAGAACTTGCTTTAAGAATGCTTGATGAAAATAAAGAAGTTGTACTGTAAAATTAAATTATTGCTTTATTATTTTTCTTAAATACTTAACTTTTTATTTCATTATGAAATATTCCAGTAGTAATATTTCTTTTTTAAATAATTGTATTATTATTATTATCATCATCATAGTCATATTGATATATATTCACAGTTTTTTTGACCAAAATGTGCAGCCTTACAAATATAACCTTTGCAATGACATTTTAAATCGCAATCACAATTTTTTTTTATCATGAAACCACATTTTGATATTTTTGTTAACACTTTAGTTGAAGCCTTTGTGTAATGCATTATAATGTTATTCATAATATATTTTCTAATGCATTAAATCTTTTCATAACTAATTGTAACCCAACATAAAATGCATTACAATATTTGCAGATTCCTAAAATTGTAAAATTGATTGTTTGTAATGTTTGAATGCATTATACATTACAAAAGGTGTAACAATGAATAGAAAAGTATTATAATGCATTCTAACCTATTATAACTATGCGATCATACATTGCATTATAAGGTGCATTACATATACGTATACATAAAGGCTTCAAGTAAAGTATTAATGATTTTTTTTCATGCAGCCTTACATCAGGGCTTTTCTTAAATAATGTGTTTTTTTTTCTCTCCCCACTGTAACTTTAAGTGGGAGATCAGATATACTCACATTGCCTGCAATCGATTTCAGTACAGTGTGAGTATCTGCTGACTGGTTTCTTGTGTAATTGCTGCTCCTCAGGGACACACCGCTGCTGTATGGGCCGTAGTCATTTTGCCAGAGCAGGGCTTAATGCTGTCTGGATCAGCTGACAAGACCATCAAATTATGGAAGGCTGGTCACTGTGAGAACACCTACACTGGTACATTGGTGCAACTGATACTTCTAATGCTTTCAACAATGAAACAATGTTTATTTGATGCTGAATATAGACACTGTGGAGCTTGTTTAGTTTTAACAGATCTCCAGCAGGGGTCAGCATTAGTAATTGATTGTGGCAAGGGTGAAATGCAGTTTTTGACTCCAGCTGTGTGAGATATTTGTAATGTGTCTGTCCTGCAGGTCACGAGGACTGTGTGCGAGGACTCGCTGTGATAAACGAGGTGGAGTTTCTCTCCTGCAGTAATGACGCCAGCATTAGACGGTGGATGGTGACGGGTGAATGTGTGCAGGTTTACTATTCTCACACTAACTATATCTACAGCCTTGCTGTCTTCCCTAACGGACAAGGTGCTTACCTTCAGTTTTGCAGTAGGTTGATATGGTTCTACATATTTGTGCATAAAATCTTAATTATTTCCTATACTGTCTTCTTTTTTCCTGTTCTAGACTTCATAAGCACAGGAGAGGACAGGACACTGAGGGTCTGGAGGAAGGGGGAATGTTCCCAGACTATCCGTCTTCCTGCCCAGTCGGTGTGGTGCTGCTGCATTCTGCCTGATGGAGACATTGCTGTGGGAGCCAGGTATGCATACTGTTTCTGTTTCATACATTCGAAACTATTTGCAGTTTTTCATCCTGCATGAGGCTGACCATGTCACATTTCTCTGAAGCGATGGCGTTATCCGCGTGTTCACCGAGAGCGAAGAGCGTGTAGCGAGTGCTCAGGACTTACAGGCTTTTGAGGATGAACTCTCCAAAGCCATCATTGACCCCAAGACTGGAGACTTGGGCGACATCAAGATAGAGGACTTACCTGGCAGAGAGCACCTGAATGAACCAGGTTAGCGAACTGAGGTGTGCCTTGTACACATGTAGTGTTTTCAAGAGTGTTCGGGGTTATTTTTGTATTATTTATATTTTATCATAGTATTAATTAAGCATTTTGAATTGGCTTTAATTTTTATTTTATTGTTTGTTCAGTTTTAATTTACTTTTATTTCAGTTTTAGTAAATTTAGTACTTCAAGTTAAACTAGTTTTAGTTTGTTTCTAATTTCCGTGTTTTCAAGAGTGTTCGGGGTTATTTTTGTATTATTTATATTTTATCATAGTATTAATTAATATTTTGAATTGGCTTTAATTTTTATTTTATTGTTTGTTCAGTTTTAATTTACTTTTATTTCAGTTTTAGTAAATTTAGTACTTCAAGTTAAACTAGTTTTAGTTTGTTTCTAATTTCCATTTAAGTTTTAAATCTAATATTTGTATTTTATTTCAGCTTTAGTTGGTATTAACAACACTGAGAATGCTAAGCAGATATTTTTGCTTATAGTGGATCAGTATTTATCTGCGAATATCCTTGTGGGCAAGCGCGCCAACATATAGTGCTGCTGCGCTTCAGGCGTCCCAAGTTCAAGTCCCGGCTCGCAGACCGTTCCCGATCCTGTCCCTCTCTCACTTTCCCACTTCACTTCCTGTCTTGCTACTGTCCTATCATAATAAAGGCAAAATCGTATTTTGTTTTGTTCGTATTATTATTGTATATACCTTCTATACACATACCTATATGTATGAAAAAATATATTATGTAGGATATAACCATTTTGCTCACTGTATTATTATTATTATTATTATTATTGTCTGTGTGTAGGGAATCGGGATGGCCAGACACGGCTCATAAAGGAAGGTTCTAATGTTGAAGCGTATCAGTGGAGCGTGAGTGACGGACGCTGGGTGAAGATCGGAGATGTAGTGGGCGGGTCTTCTCAGCAAAATTCAAAGCGAGTGATGTATGAAGGCAAGGTGAGACACAGTATTTATCTTGTAATGATCCAGTAGATTTTATGCACAGTATATAAGCATGATGTAGTCACTGTTTGCTGTCAAATGCAGTTTTTGCTCATAAATTGATTCAAGCAATGCTTTTATGGTCAACACTTTTGGTGGTCTGTTGTGTGAGAGCTGTTAAATGTCCAGTGTTGATGCTGTCCTGTGTCCAGAGGTTAAACTATAGTCACAAGTAACCCTTGTGATTTTTCCTGCCTAAAGGAGTATGACTTCGTCTTCTCTATCGATGTGAATGAGGGAGGTCCTGGCTTGAAGCTGCCTTACAATGTGACGGATGACCCCTGGCTGACAGCTCACAACTTCCTGCAGAAGAATGAGCTGAGCCCCATGTTCTTGGATCAGGTGGCTAATTTCATCATCGAGAACAGTAAAGGCCACACTCTAGGCCCAGCCCCCGCCACGTCCACAGACCCCTTCACAGGTAACTGGACCCATATGCTTTCACATACACCCACTTTATTCAGCTGAAGGTAAAGACGGAAGTGTGCTATATCCCTCCTGTGTTCTCAGGTGCGGGACGGTACATTCCGGGTTCAGGAAGCGGCGACCAAGGATTTGCCGCTGATCCTTTCACAGGTGGGCCTTTTTGAATAGCATTTGTTTTTGCTAATATGAAATCAAAGTTGTGAGAGATGTTTATGTTTGTTTGGGCAGGGGCTGGACGATATATACCCGAGTCAGGAGGATCCACAGGCACAGTGTCTTCAGGGGGAGCTGATCCTTTTACTGGTAAAATGCATGCGATACATCCCGAGCACCACATGCATTCATGGATCATGTACACTAATATACCTCTCAATTCTCTCTAGGTGGCAGTGCTTATTCCTCTTCCTCTCTTCCGAAAGCTACGACAAACATCTTCTTCCCCAGTACGGATGGAGTTATGTTTGAACAGGCGAATTCAACTCAGATTCTTGGTAAGTGACACTTTTACTTTTACATCAGAACTTGACTTAATCAAAGTCTGGGCTCCAACTCTAAGATGTAAGGTGGAGCACAGGCCTTTCAGGTTGGGCTCAAAGTTGGAAATCACAAAAAAGTGCATAAAAATATACTTTTTATAATGCCATGGTAATAACATTGCATTCTGTGAAGCAGTGTTATTTCATGTGCTATTGTAGTTTTATTAATAATATTTTGAATTGGTTTTATTTTTATATTTTCATTTTAGTTTAAGTGTTAGTAATTTTGTTGTCTGCTTTTTCTATATAGTTTTGGTTTTAATTGATTTAGTTAGGTATTTTAGTACTTCAATGAAAATGAGTAATGTTGCCTTGACATCTAGCTGAAATAAATAAAAGTATTTATAGATTAGTAAAGTGCCATGGTATTTGACTTCATCTCTGTAGCCCTGTCGGCCAAGCTTGTGATTGGGTGGTCCAGGCCCTACTGGAGAGCTAGGTTGCGCAATCAGTGAAGACATACGTGGTGACAATAACCTATCCTGTATCCCTACATAACATTTCCTCAATGTCATTTAATTTGTAGGTAAGCTTCGGGAGCTGAACAACACTGCTCCTGCAGACCGTAAGCTGAGTGACGCAGCACTGGACTGTCTGCAGAAGTTGTTGCTCGTAGTAACAGACCTGAAGAGCCAGGAACAGCCCACGGCAGAGCAGATCAATGTTCTGTGGAGGACTAGCCACTGGCCAGAAGGTAAGGCATTGAGCCTACTTAACTTAAAGGGGACATAACACACACAGTTTCTGCCAATCTCATGTTAATCTCGAGTAACTATAGAGTAGTATTGCATCCTTCATATCTCCGAAAAGACTTTAGTTTTATAGTGGCATGCGAAGGTTTGGGAACCCCTTGCAGAATCTGTGAAAATGTGAATAATCTTAACAAAATAAGAGAGATCATACAAAATGCATGTTATTTTTTATTTAGTACTGTCCTGAGTAAGATATTTGACATAAAAGATGTTTACATTTAGTCCACAAGAAAACAAGTAGCTGAAATTATTAAAGTAACCCCATTCAAAAGTTTGGGAACCCTTGGTTCTTAATACTGTGTGTGGTTAACTGGATGATCCACGACTGTTTTTTTGTTGTTCATGAGTCCCTTGTTTGTTCTGAACAGTTAAACTGAGCACTGTTCTTCAGAAAAATCCTTCAGTTTTCCAGCATCTTTTGCATATTTAAACCCTTTCCAGCAGTGACTGTATGATTTTGAGATCCATCTTTTCACACTGAGGACAACTGAGGGACTCGAATGCAACTATTAAAAAAGGTTCAAACATTCACTGATGCTCCAGAAGGAAACACGAGCATTAAGAGCAAACACTTTTGAACAGGATGAAGATGTACACATTTTTCTTATTTTGTTGAAATGTAATTTTTGTCCATTTAGTACTGCCCTTTGGAAGCAACAGAATATACTTGCATGCATCCCGGAAGACAAATTTGTTTTGCTTCAACCGGCGAAACAAAATGACAAATCCTTCCGACGACTTCCGTAACCGAATGAAGCACGCTGATGGGCTGTTCTCACTCTGGTTGATATGTGCACGCACTCTTCCTGCAGAAGTGCCCATACAAGGAATTCCATCCTTCATGACGTCGTACAGGGCCATACTCGCAAAAAAACTTTATGAAACCTATACGAACCCTGAAGGACCAACTCGTTTTATGAAACTTTGGCCATGTTTAGCATGAGAATCCAACTCTTTAACAGTGTAAATAAGTCAGAATGCATGAAATAGCATTAAACCTCCCATTTAAATAAACAATTCACTATACTAAGACTAAGAGCAGAGAATCACTGCTGGCAAGGGTGTTCAATCCTGCTTCTGGAAGGCCATGGTACTGCAGAGTTTAGCTCCAACTCTAATTAAACCACCTGAACAAGCTAATCAAAGTCTTCAGGATTACTACAAACTTCTGTAGCCTGTGACCTCATGAAGCTAGCTGAACAAATTCTGAGTTTCAGAATAAGTTGACAAAACCAAACAAATCCCAACCTGGTTTAGATCAGGTTTAGCAGGCTCACAAAGCTCAGTAAAAACGTTGTCTGTCAACTTGATCCGGTGATTTGTGATTAACTCTAGAGCGAATGCATCTGAAAGTGTGACACGTGCAGCTGACAGCCAATCACACGGAGCATTGGTTTGATTCACTTCTCGCGACAGTTGGCACAATTCACTTCTCTGCTAAATATTAAGAGATGTTGTTATTAAAAATAATGTGAATTTACAAGGCAGTAATAAACACTGCTGTTATTTTTACTCACTTTTGTAATTTTTGAATATTACCATTTAGGTTTCATTTATTTTTATTTCAGTATTATATTAGTTTTGTACATATTTTAATTTTTTATTCGTAATGTTTAATTAAAATGTCATAACTAGACCTTCCAGGGTGGAAAACAACAGACTTCTCTCTGGTGACGTATGTAGGACTTCACCAATCATTTAGTCCGTTTAAAGGGTTAGTTCACCCAAAAATGAAAATCAGCCCACAAATTACTCACCCTCAAGTCATCCTAGGTGTATATGACTTTCTTCTTTCAGACGAATCCAGCCAGTTATATTAAAAATGGTCTTTGATCTTTCAAGTTGTTTAATGGCACTTAATTTTGCATGCAACAGTCCAAAAGAAGTTAAATAAAAAGCGCCCATCCATAAAAAAGTGCCTCACACGGCTCCGGGCGAATCGATGCGTTTTTGTAAGAAAAATATCCATATTCAAAACGTAATAATCCCTTTAATGTAGCTTGCGCCAACAGGCCTACACGGAAGCCGATCCGCTGAGTGGCATTAAACAGCTTGAAAGATCAAAGACCATTTTTAATATAACTCATATACACCTAGGATGACTTGAGGGTTAGTAATTTGTGGGCTTTTTTTCATTTTTGGGTGAACTAACCCTTTAAAACTGTGTTCCACTTTTGAGTACAAAGCCCACATCTCAAAATCGACCCTATAGAGTAGCAAACTGGTAGCTTTGTAACATGCCATACTTGAAACAAGAAGCAAGCCACCACATAGCACATCATCTGAACTTACATAATGTATTCAAAAACATTATGGAATATGATTGAAAGCATCAGGGTTTGGTACAGCTTTAGTGACCATGATTAACTTCAGGTCCCACAGAAGATGAAAGCTTGATTTCACTGATGATGGATTTTCACAGCTATTTTGTGTTAAAGCAAAGGCAATAGCCTCCGGAGTGCATTACCCACCCACTTTCTCACCAAACACATACGTCAAACTCTTGAAAAGGTGCAGCTAGCCTGTTTGTTTAACATATACGTGGCTAGAAATTGCAATACTTTAGTCTAAAAGTTTAACCTTTAAACCCTATGATTCACGTTTGCTTACGCAGATCTGCATCCAAGTCACCTTTGTAAAAATAAACCTTTAATCTGTAGTAGGGATGCACCGAGATTTAAATTCTTGGCCGGAACTGAAAATTCTGGATGCACCTGGCCGAAAACCGAAACTGAAAATGCTTTTCAATAATTATTATTTTATTAAATAATATAAAATACTTTTCAATGTAACGCATTAATTTTAATGATACTGAATTTTTTAAAAATACAAGCCAATAAAATAGCCATGCTTTTATTGAAATTAAAGCAATGAAACTGGACAGAAAATATATTAATATTAAATATCAATATATTATTTTTATTCAGTTCTATGCAACAGAATCAAATAAAAAAAAGAAAAAGTAATTATCCAAATGATGTATAGTCCTACAAAGCTACCATTTTTAATATAACTCATATACACCTAGGATGACTTGAGGGTTAGTAATTTGTGGGCTTTTTTTCATTTTTGGGTGAACTAACCCTTTAAAACTGTGTTCCACTTTTGAGTACAAAGCCCACATCTCAAAATCTAATCAACAACCTCTCAATAAAACCCAGTCTTTTTTTTTTTTTTTAAGAATCTGTTACACTTGGCTGTATGTCAAAATACAGAAGAAAAGATCTGTTGCTACTTCCAGTCAATTAATCAGTCATCATTTCCCTCCTTAGACATTGTCTTCCCAGTGTTGGACATCCTGCGTTTGGCTGTGCGCCATCCTGAAGTCAACGCCCAGCTTTGTGGAGGGACTGAAGGTGCCAGTCTTTGCAACCATCTCCTGGGTCTCATGTCCCCTGAGAGCAGGCCCGCAAATCAGATGCTGGCGCTCCGCATTCTCTGCAACTGTTTCTCTGGGTCCCATGGCCGCGCTCTTCTCTTGGGTCACCGTGACACAGTCCTGTCCCGGGCCGGAGACCTCCGCGTCGTCTCCAACAAGAACATCCACGTGGCGCTGGCTACCCTGGTGCTCAACTACGCTGGAAGGTTGTACGGTCAACCCACTGAGATCGAGGCGAAGGCACAGTGCTTATCAGTGGCCAGCACTGCCTTAGAGGTCGTACACGACAAAGAGGCCGTCTTCAGGCTGCTGGTGGCCCTGGGGACCACAGTGGCCGGGGACAGCACCGCAAAGGACCTTGCACGATCTTTGGGTGTCAACTCTCAGATTTCTAAATATGCCAGGGTCTCTGATCCGGCTAAAGTGGGCGAGTGCTGCCGACTAGTGCTTGATGAACTGCAGTGATGTCAACCAACTTCTTCCATTACTACTCCTCCATGAGAAAACCCCTCTTTCAGATCTCTTAAACGGCAGTCTGTATATCATTAGTTTGTATTTAAATTTTCACATTTCGATGCTGAATGGATCTGAATGAATGCATGATGTGAATAAACACTGATGATTAATTGAAATCTTTCCTAAAGCAAGGCTCGTGTTATTGAGGAAGATCAGAGGTTCTCAACCCCCACACGGATACAAAGATCATGTTAGTTAACATGAAGTCAAAATGAAACGGCATTCATATCTCATTTTATTTCCATAATGTACCTAATTATTTTCTAAATGAAACGAATTGAAAAGTCATCTTTTACAGGAGGTCAGTGGCGAAGATTTGGAAAATAAGACTGAAAGAACAAGCTATTTAAGATTCATTGTGAAGACATTTTTTTTCATTCACTTAAACCAGAAATGTGTTAATAAAGAGAATTTTGATTCCAAGTTGACGTTTAAGGTGAAGGAAATATATTAAGTTTAAGTCTACTACCAGTGATTGTTCCACATTTATCTCTAAAATATTAAGCGTCTGTAATTAAAACAGGTAAAATCCTACAAGCCAACAGTGCTTTCAAGTCTAACTGTCGTTTTCTGGTAATAAAACTAATTTACTATGCCATTGCTATTAAAATACATTAAATGGTCATAACCCCAAACATTTCATGTCTCCACTATATTATTAGCAAAACACACAGAAAATAAAAACTAAATAAATAATGCTAAAACTAGAGCTCAAATACATATGTCTACAGCATGGGCAGCTTTTGCCGTTCCTCTTGCCTTTTAGACTCCAAAAAGCTTCTCCATGTAAACAACTTTATGAAAAAACACACTATGAGCTTTGTGCAAGTTTGAGCACTGTGCGTTGTTAGTCTCTTTTGGACCCTATAGAGTAGCAAACTGGTAGCTTTGTAACATGCCATACTTGAAACAAGAAGCAAGCCACCACATAGCACATCATCTGAACTTACATAATGTATTCAAAAACATTATGGAATATGATTGAAAGCATCAGGGTCTGGTACAGCTTTAGTGACCATGATTAACTTCAGGTCCCACAGAAGATGAAAGCTTGATTTCACTGATGATGGATTTTCACAGCTATTTTGTGTTAAAGCAAAGGCAATAGCCTCCGGAGTGCATTACCCACCCACTTTCTCACCAAACACATACGTCAAACTCTTGAAAAGGTGCTGCTAGCCTGTTTGTTTAACATATACGTGGCTAGAAATTGCAATACTTTAGTCTAAAAGTTTAACCTTTAAACCCTATGATTCACGTTTGCTTACGCAGATCTGCATCCAAGTCACCTTTGTAAAAATAAACCTTTAATCTGTAGTAGGGATGCACCGAGATTTAAATTCTTGGCCGGAACTGAAAATTCTGGATGCACCTGGCCGAAAACCGAAACTGAAAATGCTTTTCAATAATTATTATTTTATTAAATAATATAAAATACTTTTCAATGTAACGCATTAATTTTAATGATACTGAATTTTTTAAAAATACAAGCCAATAAAATAGCCATGCTTTTATTGAAATTAAAGCAATGAAACTGGACAGAAAATATATTAATATTAAATATCAATATATTATTTTTATTCAGTTCTATGCAACAGAATCAAATTAAAAAAAGAAAAAGTAATTATCCAAATGATGTATAGTCCTACAAAGCTATCATTATCAGAGCATGTGAGCAGAGCATAGCATCATGAGAGGTTAGCGTCATTTTACCAGCATTGCCCAGTACACAGGCCTATGACACCATAGAGATATGGATTTGTTTTCAATACCCCTCTGTATATATATTTTTTGTATTATAATTATAACCTTTTTATTGATTTCCTGAAGTTATTGTTACTTTGCATGATGTGATTTGTCACTAAATAAAGCGTTATATAGCTAGAGGGAGAGTGAAACCTGTGTGCTGAACACTGCTTGGCAGTGCTATGTATCTTCAGACGTTTTTCTCTTTCGGGCCAAAAACCAAAATTTTTCGGCGGCCAAAATTTCGGTGCATCCCTAATCTGTAGCATACTAATGAGCAACCTTCTGAGAACCTTTCAAAAATATTTAACTAGGGTGTCTATGCTGTGTTGGACATCTCATCAGTGAATTCAGCCATAATGTCATGAAGCCAAATGTCCCGTTCCTCTTGTGAAGTGTCCACCAAGTAGATAACCACCTTACGGTCCCAGGGCTGTGATGCCTCCTGCACCGATTCCAGCTGGGCTACCAGGGGCTTCTTCTCGACATGGTTCCTGAACACAATGGATGCCTCCTCAGACCACTGCCTAGGTTTCAGACCTGGAAAGATCAGAAACACCTTCAGATCTACAAAAAAAATCACACCTGAACTTCTCAAAGTGGCAAAATGAAAAGAAGGAGTTGTTTTGAGATCAGTTCTTTCTGAGATACAGCCAGTATCATGTGGCCCATATGAGTCAGGGACTTTGACCTTTGGAAGCAGGAGTGATAGTCAAAACAGCACACAGTCTGTAAAGTAATATGGTAAGTGATCTGAATGTGGAACTCAGCTTTCCACAAAAGCAATTTCCTTTCACCTTTTAGAGCTGTTCTCCTTTAGTTGAATTTTATCCCAACAGGTATCATTTATTTCACTTGTTCGGATCAAAAACAACTAACTTGATTACACTTTTTAAACGTCTTCGTTTATATAAACCAACATTTTTATTTATTTATTATTGTATTTTGCTGTTTTTTTATGATATTATGTTATTCTGTGTATTTGTTTGATACTGTTTAAAGGGTTTGGGGTCAGTAAGATCCTTTCATATTTTTGAAAGAGGTTGCATTTTTAATAAAAAAATACAGTTAAAACAGTAATATGAAATGTTATATTATTTACATTTAAAATAACTCTTCTATTTAAATGTATTTTAAAATTGAATGTATTCCTGTGATGGCACAACTAAATTTTCAGCAGACATTACTCCAGTCTTCACACAATCTTTCAGAAATAATTTTTATATTCTGATCTGATGTTCAAGATTTTTTTTTTATTAATATCAATATTGAAAACAGTAAATTTTTTCAGGATTATTTGATTAATGGAAAGTTCAAAAGAACAGCATGGGAAATCTTTTGTAACATAAAGGTGTTTACTGACACTGCTGGTCAATTTAATGTGTCCTTGCTGAATAATAAGTTCATTTTTACTGGTACTGTATGCTTACTATACTGTATGTATAATATTGCATTAGAGTTTATTGGATATTGTTGAAGGAACATTCACAGGAACTGCATGGGATCATGGAAAAAGTCTCTTCTGAATGGACAGTGGATGGGATTTGAGAGCTGATGAACTAGATGTCTAAAACAGCCTTTCTAACAGGAAATGAAGTGTACCAGCCAGCTGAGCAACTGAACTTACATAATGTATTCAAAAACATTATGGAATATGATTGAAAGCATCAGGGTCTGGTACAGCTTTAGTGACCATGATTAACTTCAGGTCCCACAGAAGATGAAAGCTTGATTTCACTGATGATGGATTTTCACAGCTATTTTGTGTTAAAGCAAAGGCAATAGCCTCCGGAGTGCATTACCCACCCACTTTCTCACCAAACACATACGTCAAACTCTTGAAAAGGTGCTGCTAGCCTGTTTGTTTAACATATACGTGGCTAGAAATTGCAATACTTTAGTCTAAAAGTTTAACCTTTAAACCCTATGATTCACGTTTGCTTACGCAGATCTGCATCCAAGTCACCTTTGTAAAAATAAACCTTTAATCTGTAGTAGGGATGCACCGAAATTAAAATTCTTGGCCGGAACTGAAAATTCTGGATGCACCTGGCCAAAAAACCGAAACTGAAAATGCTTTTCAATATTTATTATTTTATTAAATAATATAAAATACTTTTCAATGTAACGCATTAATTTTAATGATACTGAATTTTTTTTAAATACAAGCCAATAAAATAGCCATGCTTTTATGTTACTATACTGTATGTATAATATTGCATTAGAGTTTATTGGATATTTTTGAAGGAACATTCACAGGAACTGCATGGGATCATGGAAAAAGTCTCTTCTGAATGGACAGTGGATGGGATTTGAGAGCTGATGAACTAGATGTCTAAAACAGCCTTTCTAACAGGAAATGAAGTGTACCAGCCAGCTGAGCAGTGATGGCCTGGAAGGGGAGCTGGCAGAACTCCTGGGTGAGGGGCCGGAGCTGGGTGCAGCTCACCAGCTCATGTTTGCCATAGTCCAGCTGAAACACTGACACCAGACCATTGGTCAGGACTCCTTTCACCAGTACACGGTACCAGCTTTAAAATGAAACAGATGATGAGTGGTCACATGACCTCACAAAACACTTCAGCCCCAAGCCTCTTAGTAACAAAACAGTTGTTCTATTGCCCAAGTTATACACCAGACTTTATGCTGGTGCTCCTGGAGGGCCACCTTCCAGCAGAGTTTAGCTTTAGCCCCAATTAATAACATTTGAACCAGCTAATTCAGGTCTTCGGGATCATTAAACTTCCAGACATTCATTTTGGAGCTAAACTGCAGGAAAGTGGCTCTTCAGAAGCAGAATTGGACCTCCCTGACCTAGACACATAATACAAATGCACGCTTACTTGTTTTCCAGCTTGGCAGCACAGACCTGGTTCTTCTCCACTTTAAGTGGTTTCTCCTCCATCTTATTATAATGCAGAATCATCTCCCCCATCAAGTCCACCAGTTTGTACATATCCTGCCATGGCTGTAGCACAAAGTGCCCAGGATGGCATACGACTGTAACAAAAACGTCCATATTCTGCCCAATCTCGGGCAACTCCAGCAGTGGCGGAAGAGCCAGCTGTTCAGGCGGAGAGCCTGGAGGTGCGCTCTGGCTCCCCAGCAGAGATGACATCCTCTTGGGTGTGTGTGGGGCTTTATCCTGCCCGTCAGTGCTGAGGTTGGAGGTCTGGATGGTGGCAGGGTTTGTCGGGGCGTTGAGAGATTTTGAAGGCCCCCGGCTGCTTAAGAAAACATCCTTCTGCTGGTTCCACAGATTAGAGTCGGCCAGCTGTTGGTTTAAACTGCAGCTTGTGTCGTGGAAGTTCTTGCTGGTGAAGAGATAAACATGAGCAAGGCGTTTGGGCTCATCCACTTTAGCTATCTAGAAAAACAAATGCAACTGTTTTTAGTGCTTCTTTTCTGCTGTTGTTGAGTACTTTGTACAAGCATCTTTATGCCTTTTCCTCATTTTTTTCTTTCTGAAATTAGCCCCAGTTTTATGCTTGTATCGTATGTGCAAACAAAATCAAATAAAATGCAAATGTGAAAACAGAGCAGCATTATGATGTAACTGGCCTTCAAGCTGCAGTCACTGCAGTGGAGAACCGTGTCTCTCAGCCACTGGACAGCATCTGGAGTCCATGAGCCTACGCTTACAGGCAGATCTGCCAGATAACACTTCAGTGCCTGCAGAGTGACAAATAGGCAGACAGACAAGCTTACATATTATGGATCTAAGAATTAAATCAGCTCATTCAAAAATGACGGAGTCACCCTCATGTTATTCCAAAACAGTTTGATTCTTTGTTTTCTTGTCACATTTATAGCAAAATGTTTAAGCTGCTTTTTATACAATGAAAGTGAATGGGGACCATGGACAGCCTTGGATAATATGGAAAAAAGCAGCCTGGACAATTCTGCCAAACATAAAGTCATTACTGTTTACAAACAAAAGCAAGTCTTGCAGGTTTTTCATGCCCTTCATTCAAAAACTAAAAATGAACCCAAACTGCTGTTACAAACCACTATACTCATTAACCTCTTTGTGTCGTCATTAGCAGTTGTCTGACCTGAGCTGGGGTAGATATGAGGTCACACAGCAAAGGAGGTGGAATCTCTCTCAACTCAGTGACTTCGACCGATGCCTGAACGCCTACATCCACAAACAAGATGTCCAGCACCCGGCTGCCATGCAAGTTTGTTATCTATGGCAAAAACACAGTGGACACGGTTATAGTCCTGATGCCACAGGATTCAGGAATGATAGCTAAATGTGAAATGTTTAAAGAGATCAGCTCAGATTATTTCAACAATAAATATCAATTTCAATAAAGGAACCAGATAATATTCTAGTGAATTAGATTTTATTCTGTGCTCACAACATGTTGGAATTACTAAAATTAGGAGATCGCCGACTTATAAAAAACTATTCATGTCTTTGCAAATGTCATAATTACAGGTAGGAAATGCGTGAACATTTTGCCATTGTGTAGAAAGGAACAAAATGATAGTGGATTCAGTAGCTCAAAGATTAATAGTTTGGTAGCAATCTCTAAATTTATTGTTTTACAGTATATTTTATGTACAAAGGGCTAGTTCACCAAAAAAGGAAAATTCTGTCATTAATTACTCACCCTCATGCCATTCCAAACCCATGAGACCTTTGTTGATCTTCATAACACACATTAAGATATTTTTGATGAAATCTGAGAGCTTTCTGACTCTGCATAGACAGCACAGCAACTGAAACGTTCCCAGGCCCAGAAAGGTAGAAGGACATCATTAAAATAGTCCATGTGACATCAGTGGTTCAACCTTAATTTTATGAAGCTACGAGAATACTTTTTGTGCGCAAAGAAAACAAAAATAACGGCTTCATTCAACAATTTCTTCATTTCCGTGTCAGTCTTCGGCGTGCATTCATGAGAGTACCACAATGCATGTGTGTGGTGCTACTGATGCAGGAGCCGGCGTTCTGGCGTAGAATGTCCATCTCTCAGTTCATCGTCTGTTTAATCTAGTTCAAAAAAGGCTGGGCAAAAAATTGCAAGTCATCCTCTCAATCTTCAGACATGTTTACGAAGACTGTTTTATGTACAGCGTGCATCTTCTTCTGCTTGCACATCCGGGTTCTACACCAGAATGTCGGCTCCTGCGTCAGCAGCACACGTGTGCATCATGGTACTCTCGTGAAAGTGCATCGAAGAATGATACAGAAGAGAAGAAAATGCTGAATGACGTCGTTATTTCTGTTTTTTTAGCACAAAAAGTATTCACGTAGCTTTATAAAATTAAGGTTGAACCACTGATGTCACATGGACTATTTTAACAATGTCCTTACTACCCGTCTGGGCCTGGAACGTGGTAGTTGCATTGCTGTCTATGCAGGGTCAGAAAGCTCTAGGATTTCATCAAAAATATCTTAATTTGTGTTCAGAAGATGAACGAAGGTCTTACGGGTTTGGAACGACATGAAGGTGAGTCATTAATGACAGAATTTTTATTTTTGAGTGAACTATCTCTTAAATGTTTTGAAAGAAGTCTCTTATGATCAGCAAGGTTGCATTTATTTGATCAAAAATACAGTAAAAAAAAACAGTAATATTGTGAAATATTATTACAGTTTAAAATATTTGTTTTCTATGTTAATATAAAAATGTAACTTGTTCCTGTGATGGCAGAGCTGAAATTTCAGCAACAATAACGCCAGCCTTCAGTGTCACATGATCCTTTTAAATCATTTTACGTCATCTTTTTTAGGATTCTATGATGAATGGAAAGTTTAAAAGAACATCCTTGCTAAATAAAAGAATAAATGAAAAAAATCTTACTGACCCCAAACTTTTGATTGATAGAATGTAAGAGAAGAATATCTGCAGTAATGAAGAATTTTGCCAACAAAGTCACACACAGAACCATTTTAGCATTATGAGTGACACCATAAAAATGAAAATGGTCTGAGTCTGAGGACATGAACAGCTCAGAGTCTCCTAATTGTTATCACATAATTCTGGTATTTCCTGGGGCATGAGGGAACAATTCCATAAAATACAAATAAAGAAACAAAGGAACAAATAGATGAAATGCTCATTTGAGGCCATTCAACTTACAAATTTACAATAGTCGTTATTAACTCTTTTCTTTTCTTAACCATTCTACTAACAGAGCAGACTCACCTCCACCCGGGACCATTTGCCTTTATATCGAGCCAAACAGTTTTTGCCACAGAAAGGCCGTGAAACCAGCAACTCTGATGTGACCTTTCATAAGGGAAAGATATGTGAGCATATCCTGTCTGCCAGACAACGGGAGGGAACACATCATGAAATGGACAACACACTTCTCTACAGGGTGCTGATATGCAATGTACTACAATAAACAATTACTATTTAAAACACTTTGATAGATACATTGATGGCTAAATTAGACACTCTAGTACACAATCTGTGCCAGCAGGTAACTATTTACTGGGGATTATGTACTTGACGCCTGCCAACCTGATTAAACCCATAATCCCAATCTGTCTATTTGAGCCTCTTCACCTCCTCTAAAGAAGCCCCTAGCAACATATTTGAAGCTGCACATACAGAGATTATTCCTGTTACAAGGGTAGTACCTGGGAATGTAAATAGTTTTCAGTCTTCTCCAGAATTCCGTTGAGTTTAGTCAGGCCTCTGGAAGGCACCTGACAGTAGATTGTTCCATCTGAGCAAACGCTGGTCACGTTCACATTCATATAGGCACTGTTCACCTAAGACAGAATACAAATATATATGTCATTCACTTAATCACCGATTAACACATCACAGGAATAAATGACATTTTAAAACGTATTAAAATACAAAACAGTTCTTTTAAATAGTGGTAATATTTCAGAATATTACAGCTTTTACTGTAATTTTGATCAAATAAATGCAGGCTAGGTGAGCATACGAGACTTTTAAAAAGATTCGAACAACTTACGGACCCCAAACTTTTGAGTATTGATTATGCAACAGTTTTTGGACATGCTATTTTGGCAATATCATGGTATTCTTAAGGCACATTGGCATATGCCCCAAGGTACCATCACAGTATTTTTTGGGTATGAGGGTTTCATTGTATTATCAAACACTTAAATTTTTGGTTACCTTTAAGGGACTCTCTAAGGATTTGTCTTGCAGAGCTTTCATACAGGCAGCATTGATGTTGATATCGTCATCTTGTGATGTGTCATACAGGACCATCAGAGGCACTTCCTTACGCTCTAAAATCTCAGCCAATAGGATCTTGCCAGTGGCCATGGACTCAAACCTCTTCAGTACTGCCTGCTCCTGACTGAATGACTCTAGGCCTGAAGCAAATTAATATTAAGACAATATTTGACATGAAACTATTTTGTCTAAATTAATTCATAACTGAATGCAAAACTCACCTGCTAGTTTGCATCTGGTGGCTTGGAAAGGCAATCTATAAAACTTTTCATGTAACTCAAATAATTTGCTCTTGCTGATGACTTCGGAAAAGCCATGATCCACATAGTACACCTGTTTAAACATCAACACACAAGTGCAGTAATAATTTTTACAAAAACAGAGCATTATCTTTATGAACAAAGATATTGCACACACATATCACGTATCAAAACAGCCTCCGTTCTACAACAGAAAACCATAATGATCCATTGTGAACTGCACTAGACCAGTGGTTCTCTTGTCTTCGATCTTCCAAGCTGTTTAATGGCAGTCAGCAGATGTTGCAGTGCATCAGTCCAAAAGAAGTGAAATAAAGTGCATCCATCCATAATAAAAAGTGCCTCATACGGCTGCGGGGGGTGGACAAAGCCATCCTGTAGCGAACCAATGCGTTTTTATAAGAAAAATAACCATATTTAAACGTAATAAACAATTTAATCCAGCTTGCGCTCACTGTTGTACACGGAAGCAGCTCCGGGCGGGTGACGTAGGACGTCGGCGTTGCGCATGCGCTGCTCAGAAGAGACGCACGCGGAAGCGCAGGGGAGAGATCGAAACAAAACAACAGTCACGAATTAGAAGTACAAAACAAGGATTTGTAAAGAAGAATGTCAGAGGATTTCTATATAAGCCAAGAGGAGACAGAGTTTGCTCCTGTAAACGTTGGTTTTCACAAGACTCACTGGCGCATGCGCAACGCTGACATCTTAGTCATCCTCCCGGAGCTGCTTCCGTGTACAACTGTTGGCGCAGGCTGGATTAAAGTGATTATTACGTTTTGAATATGGGTATTTTTCTTACAAAAGCACAT